GCGTTGAACCTCGCTTCGCGTGGAAAGTTGTAAACCCATGTGGAACCTCACTTCGCATGAAAAAGTGTATGCATAAAACAGTGGGTTCCGCCCCCCCCCCCTACAGGGGGGCTCCATTTCCGGAAGAAATAACCTAACTCAAACCTATTTCTAATTTAATTTCTCCCTATTTTTAAAATATAAGCTTGGTAATTCATGCCGAAATATATCGTCTTAGAATTGTATCAGGAATACGTCATTTCACGGACGGAAGGTTGTTCCGGAACACCCTGTATACAGTCTTATGTCGCAAGTATCGGTCGGTCACTATCTTGAATTGTTAATAACTTTGTAATAAACGACGAGCATTCCACGGGAAGGCTGCACTTTCGGAAAATATAACTTAACTTAAACCTTTCAGTTTTAAAAGTAAAGTTGGATTATTTTTTATTATCAGACTACGTACAAACCTTGATTTTTACAAATCTTTGTTTGTTAACAACTTTTTAATAAAAAACGAGCGACGGCTAAAACCTTGTGAAGGTCACTCAGGAGGGTGACCTTGACAACATATGTCAAGGTCAAGGTCATCGGGGCTGCATCCCCTAAACGTCACTTTTACCTTTTTTAGATATGTACTTAGCGTATTTTTTTTACCTTTGTGAGGTTTTTTTAGTGGGATCTATCTTATATGCAATTAAGGGAAGCAAAAGAAATAGTTAATCATTTTTTTTCAGTTTTTTTTTCTTTGACACATTTATTTATGTTAACGCATATCACGTCGTCTCAAGACATTATACAAAAATTCATCCACAGCGTAAGCTAATAGTTCGCAATCTATGATAGATGTTTTATCATAAACGTCGCGCAAAATTTTGACCGCATCATCTCTCTCGGCACCAAACATATCACTTTGCAAATTAACGACAAGTCGATCGAAGCTCGCAAATACGGCTTCTATATTCTGGTACAGCTTCAAATATTCGTGATTAACACAATGTTCGAGTTCGAATAAAAATAATATAGTTGATGGTTTCATGTACAAGCAAGAATCGTGTAATGTAAGTTTTACAACACTCGTACCGTGTATTTTAACAATCTCAATTGTTAAACCGCGAATCCATAATGGTGTATGATTAGGCGTTTGTACAAGTCGTTCAACGTCCGCTCGTTTTTGCATTAGCGATTCCCATGTTTCAATAAGTAATATGATTTGATTGCCTCGGTTATCGCCAAGATGTAATTCTACGTAAGATGTGATTCCAACGCTGATTCCAATATCCAAGTATTTATACGCCGTGCGCGTCAATACAAATTTGCATACCAAAATACGTGATAAATAACGAGGTTTATCGTATCTGAAAAAAAAATACATTTAAATATGAAGAAGCGTGGAAAAACATATATGAAGAATATATATGAATCATTTGTGATACTTACAAATCAAGCGGTTTCTTGTATGGCTTAATTTCATCTCGCGGAACGTAATAATTCATGCGTCTGCCATCGTTGCTGCTTCCTTCAGCGGAGTACATTTTGTCTCTCGGTTATGAGAAGTGGACCATTGGTACGAGCGGCTGATACAAGACTGAACGTATGAATTATTACGTTCCTCGAGATGAAATTAAGTCACGTGACAACACCCACGTTTCAAATTATAATGTGGTGGTGGTGGTAGTGGTGGGGGGAATCCTATTCGAACGGTGATCGAATTATGTGTAGTGGGGGAAGGGAAATAAGAAATAAAAAAACATTAATTACGTTTACACATTTTATTTTTAAAAATATTGCAATTCTTTTTGACATTGCGACGACCAGTTAAATATTTTTAATATATTCCGTAATGCGCAATTCTTAATATATTTTCCGCATCGTATAGTATTAGTAACATCTAGATGATTTAAAGATTCAATATCTTCATAATCAGCATCCAAAGTCTCGATGATTAGGTTTTCTCTCGCATAATTCTCAAGCAAATCCACCAGCCATTCTCGTTTCTGGCATCCCTTGACGTACACGAGAGTCGACATCTCGTCATCCTCTTCTGTACCAAGCACGGCCGATGTAATCAAGCGTTCAGCCATGCTGTAAGGCACGTTTCCGTCTTCCCATCGTAATCCATGATTCGTAATCAGCCAGGAAGCACATGACTTGTCGGATTTTGTGAGGAGATTCCATGGTAAGGGGTATGTAAAAATGTAATGCGCCAGAACGGTCCCCTTTCTCAGAACCGCCACCTCCTTTACGACAAATCGCATCCCGACGAAGAATCCTTACAGGAACGTTGGAACGGATATAACGTTTTTTTATATCAACGACATGACGTTCTTCCGGCCTATCTGCAGAGCGAAGACAACGTATCGCGGTTTCTCCAGCTGACAATGAGTCGCGGTCTTAATGGGCCACGAATGCTTGGTTGTACGCTGCAATAGCGGAAATTCGTACAGATCCCACGAGCGGAAACCCATGCTGAGGTATCGTCCGCTTTCCAAAGCACGCAGTATCGACAGCTTGTTGATCTCGTTCAATACCACGTGTGGCATTCGCCATTGTATCTTGAATATATCGATCACAGGCTCCAGTGCCAAATTTCCAAGCAGACAATTGTTGTCGTTGCGCGATCGTATTAAGATCAACTCGTGACGAGCGTTAATCACCACGCGTCTGTAATCCTCGCAAAATCCCAATAACATGTAGAGCGGTACGCAAAAATTGAAGTATCCATTCGCATTATTGTTATCTGTTAATGCGTACTGCGCATTCCAGCCGGCGTTCCTCATAATCACGGTTTTATCGGATGATATCGTTACATAGTTCTTGAGTGTGCTAGTTATTCCCACATTTCTGTTACGATCAATCTCCACACCGTCGAGTTCGTATCGGATCTCATCGTTAGTCTGCGCATCCCAGCCGGCGTTCCTCATAATCACGGTTCTATTGGATGATACCGTTACATAGTTCTTGAGTGTGCTAGTTATTCCAACATTTCTGTTACGATCAATCTCCACACCGTCGAGTTCGTATCGAATCTCATCGAACATGAACGCAACGCGATTATTTCCCAGTACCACATTAGATCCTTCAGCCGGTTCGTTTATCGCTAGTTTTCCCTCGATGTATAGAAAACTCTCATACGGCAACGTATACAGATCCTGTTGTTGTATGGGTATTCGTATCTCGTCGCTGTGCTCAAACATCGTGTTGGCGTACGGGTTGTACGTGTGAGTCTCGATCTTGACGATACGATCGTCAAAGACCGACTCGCCTTCAATGTTAAGGATATCGGTCATGTTTTCTCAGATATTTCGCACCGCGAATCCCAAAGAATGTAAAAATTCAACGTTCGACGCGTTGAGTTTCTTTTTCTTGGTGCAACCGGATGATTGGTTATTAGCGAATGTTGACGTTGCTGTCGCTGGCTTCGCGTTATCTCTCGCGTCTTTCGATCCGCTCAACATGAGCATCTCATGTATCACACGCTAATTTTGTCGCCGTCGTACGTGCAATCTGATGGTGATCTCTTCTCCTCGAAAATCGAGCAATCGTCAGTCATGATCCGCGACGCGTATCGTTAGATCCGTAATGCTCCGCGCGATAATTGGCAGGTAAATGATCTGCGCCGGCGTTTCCGATATCTTATATCCCGGTGGTACTCTTGGTGAAAATTCATCGTATGAACGAGTTTGCCGTTGCTGTACGCGCCCGCGGTCACGTTACACTCTACGCGGATAATGTTCACGTTGATAATGTTAATCGGTATGTCCGATCGGTGCCACTGTCTCGGCTGCAATATACGCTTCGACGAGAATCCCAGCAGCGATCCAATGTTATTGGGTTTATTAAAATTTGTATGGCCAAGTATTTTATGCCATCTTTCTTTATTTGACATCTCTATAAAGCTTGTATATGATATGGTTTCAATATTTTCGTCATTTATAACTTTTCCATTTTATGCATAAAGTTTCTTTTTCTTTTCACCAATAGCAATTAGTTCTTTTCTTTTATTATAAATTTTTGCATTATTGTTTTCAAATATAACTCTATTCTTTTGACCAACAATAGCCGAAATGCTTAATAAATTTTGTTTCATTTTTGGCACATAATAAACGTCTTTTATTTCGGTTTCAATTTGTTTATCAGCAACGTTAAAAAAAATAGTAATATTTCCAATTTTATCGGATTGTAGTGAGAAGCCATCACCCACTTTAATATCCACAGGAGTTTCCAACTTTACAGACGTCGAGAAATATTTATCAGAGTTCACACAATATGATCTGAGCAATCATTATCCAATAACCATGTAACTTCTTCAACTAACATGTTTTTTTCATTTGACTTTTTAGCCGTTGTCATAACTTCGACATTAAAAGTATTTCTTTCACTTTCGTCATTTACAACTGAATTTCCAGCGATTCTCATTAAATTACTTCTGTTGAGATTTCTTGAATATCTGTTTTGTCCATTTGAATTGTTCCAACAAAAACGCTATGTGTCCTAGTCTGTTACATTTATAACATCTTTTTATCTAATTATCTGGCTTTTCCTGATTATTTTGATATCTTGAATTGCTCGGTTGATTATTGTTGAAGTTTCTTGAATTAAAATATTTGTTATTTTGTTGTTGATTAAAATTCTTACCTTTTTTGGCATTTGGGAATTAAATGCTTAAAGATTATTTTTTATGTTACCATTGTTATCTTCACGTTTTTGAAATTCTAATGTTAGTTTGGATTTTACGTATTCTACTGATTTGCCTTTATCTGGTAAAGCATCAACTACATCAACTATATGTGACATACTCTTAGGAAGCGTCAACAGTAGATAGTTTAATTTATCATCGTTGCTCACAGTTTCACCAGCATTTTTTAGTTCATTCATCAGTTTTTCAAAGTCATTAAAAAACTCGGCTGGATTTTCAGTTTCTTTCATTCTTAATTCCAGTAGTTTTCTTTTACACAATAGTTTGACTGCACTATTTTTAACTAAATAAATTTCATCAAGTTTCACCCGCCGTATTCACCAGACATTGCTCCTTTTGATTTCCACATGTTTAGATCGATGGCGCATGGCCTGTCTGAGCAACACTTCACATCATATGAAGATACCAAAAATTGGGTCGATTCGTGGATAGCCTCAAAAGATGAAGCATTCTTCCGACGCGGTATCCGTACGCTGCCAGAAAGATGGGGAAAAGTAGTGGCAAGCGATGGACAATACTTCAAATAAAACATTAGGTTCCGTTCTTTCACAATAAATGCCAAATTTTTGATAAAAAACGGCGGAAACTTATTTGTACACCTAATAATTAGCACGGATCACTATCGGGTATTCTACAGCCTCGTCATCGTCACCGTCATCATTCATCCGAATATGCGCGACGTCAATTCGCGGACGTTTCCGTGAAATTGCACGTTTCAAAAACTCATGTATGGCGTGTATCTCGTACGATCTTTCGGGAATCCTAATTTCCGTGTCATCCTCATCGAAATAAAATTTATTATTCGAGGAATTCATGTTCGGCATCGTATGATAAGCTTCAAAGTCCGTTAGACCGAGCTCGTAGTCACCGTCGTTCAAATCTACGGTTGGATAGTAATGTGCCGCGAGGACGCTACTCTTCCCGGTCAGCGTGAATGTCATAGACATGACGGGAAAACTGTTTAACGAATACTGAGTCTGAACGTCACATCGTCAGGCTTTAAATTCACACCGATCGTCGTCGACCGTTCGGAGAAACTGCAGGCACAATTGTCCGCAGATGCTCTGATCGTAAGTTTGAACAGGTGTGTGATTGTACTGTATATTCGTCACGTTCCCCCCGAAATATTGCATCAATTCATTCGGCGGTCGAAGATTGCTAAAATTGTCGAAATACATCACGCGACTTCCTTTCTTTGCGTAGGCCACCCAATGAGTACCTGGTCCTTTGGTGTTATTCAAATTCACGATGCCGTTCTCGTTTCGATATACATCACCGATCGGTAAAGAATCACGCATAAAAACGCCTCTAAAGAATGATATACGCATACGTTTCGCCGTGAGATCGGTGTTCCGGGAATACGCTGTATCGTGCTCGCGGCAGGCCGCGTCCAATGGATTTATACCCCGATCGCCTCTCGCCAATTGTTTTTCCAAATGAGTGCCCGGGCCGCAAAACTGATAGCCGGGGATATGTAACTCGAAAGGAAGGGCGTTTATCGCGCGATTTAATAGTCATCTACCTATTTTCGTTGACATTCATCGCCGCAATCTTTTATCAACGGTGCTGGGCCGTCGATGTGTGTTCGCTGCCACGGTTGATTGTAATGTTCGTAACAGCGACGATATTGTTGAACCTCCAAATCCGCCTTTATATGTTCCGGAAACTTGTCCCACAGATAGTGGACGTGATCGCCGCACATTCGCAACAGAACGACTTTCGGCACAAATTGTAACTGTTCGGCACTCAAATCGCAAATATCGGAAGGTCTCGATAGCAGGACGAACATTTTTGCTACTGAGCGATTCGCAGTTCCGTGCACCTATAAATAGGCGTTCGATTCAGCATCCCTCTCAGTCGGCGGCGTGAAAATGAGATTCGTGCGACAAACGTTGGCGATACGCGTGACGAATTGCAACGACAGATTACGATCGATGGGGGGCAACGCGGAGATGCGCAGACACGATACGATGCTAGCAACTACTATACGCGCGATCGTTTGCGGTCCCTCGAATTGCGGTAAAACAAACGTTCTAATAAGCCTGCTGGAAAGTCCGCACGGTGTACGTTTCGAAAACGTGTACGTGTACTCGAAGTCGTTGCAACAGCCGAAATATCGATATCTGGAGTATTTGTTGACATCGATCGACGAAATCGGCTACTTCACGTTCTCCAACAACAGTGACGTCTTTCCGCCGAGCGAGGCGCGCCCAAACTCGATTTTCGTGTTCGATGACGTGGCATGCGATAAACAAGATGCGGTGAGAGAGTATTTCTCAATAGGCTGGCACTCGAGCGTCGACTGTTTTTATCTCTGTCAGACGTACGCGAGAATACCTAAACATCTGAAACGCGACAACGCGAACCTGCTGATCCTGTTCAAACAGAATAATACCAACCTGAAACACGTGTACAACGATCACGTAAATACCGATATGTCGTACGATGAATTTTGCGCATTGTGTCGCGATTGTTGGCAGCGCAAGTACGGATTCGTATTGATGGATAAAGACAACTCGCTCAACGATAGTCGATACAGAAAAGGATTTAACGTGTTCGCGATATCGCAAAGCGGTTAGTAGTTGCGATACCTCGTCGAGGGTAAAACGTGAGAGAGAGATCGACACTTTTCTTTTCCGCGATGGCTGCGATCGATAGGAGCGGGGATATTCGCGAGCACAAGAAGATTGCAAGGGAAATTGTGAAAACGAGCGAATGGATTCGCAAGAAACATCGCGCTGAGAAGACCGGTAAGATCGAGGAGGATATCGTGTTGGACAGGCACTTTAGACTTCTCATCGGGCCGCTACAAAAGATCGTCGACAACTCTAGCTCGATCGCGGTGAAGAACGAACCGAGGAGTAACGCCAACGCGGGGATCGAAGCGTTATCCATCCGGAAGCGTTAGGGGGAGGATGCGACACCGAAAAAGAGGAAACGATCCGACGCCTGATCGGATCGCTCATCGACACCGTATACATCGAAACGATCGGACGCTCCACTGGATGTACCGCCGATAATCTCTACACCGTCCGCGACGGTGAGAATCGTACAACCTACGATGACCGAATTACTCGTGAGCAAGGGCGAGGATGTTTTCGAAACCACGGACGACTCGCTCGTGGTGTCCGTTCGAAATCAGTTGCAATCGCGGGAGGATTGAGAAACGTTGCGGGATCAGTTAGGTCCACTGGGCCGAAGGTACATCTGGCCTGTCCTGAGCGGCAAACGAGAGAGCGGTATAGACACCGTGTACGGTGTTTATCTCGACAAGGATGGAATGATGTTCGGTAATAAACGTTTTGACGTGGACAACGCGGATAGCATAATTATCGACGGCGTATGATACGCCGGCACACCTGGTCTTTACGAATTGATCTTCAAGAGAATCCCCGATGACGTCATCTATACGGAGGATGATAAGCAAACGTACAAAAGCATGCTGTTGACGACGAGCGTGCATAAACACAATCACGATGAGCACGGTCGATTACTGGGCAACAAGGGATACAAGTACAAAGAAATAATCGCAAAATTGATACCGATCGAACCCAAGAGAAAAAAAACTGGAAAGGGATTATTCGTGCCTCGCGCAATGACGTTAATCGACAACAAGATCGAATACGTGCACTGGGACGATCCCAACAAGCTGGTGGATCGTCTACGATTGCTCGACGCTTCGCACCAAGCGGGCCACAATGGCCACGAGGTAAACCTGCATAAAAGGGGACCCTCCTTCGTATGATCTTGACCTTGACATATGTTGTCAAGGTCATCATCCTGAGTGACCTTCAAAAGGTCATAGCCGTCGCTCGTAATTTATTAAAAAGTTACTAACAAAATAAGTGTTATAGGTACAATTTATATTTTTGACACTGTATAGATAGAATTGCAAGCATATATGAACAGCCATAATAATACCGTTTACTTTTTCTTTACAAGCGAGCGCTTTGTATATTGTTCGAGAGCGACCCGAAATTTTGGACGCGAGCGAGGATTTTGAGAACAACGGTTAAGAAAGTCACGCGAGTACTGTTTTACATGTTTAATTGAAAGAATAAATAACAATTACAAACACTTTTGACACAAAGTTCTGTTTCGTAAGACAATTGCGGTTCCGTATTAAGTGAGCGGTCGGTTATATTCGTAGCACGATAAAGAAAAGCGGTCGTCATAAAGAATAGCGGTTATCAAAAAGAATAGCGGCTAACAAAAGCGGTTAGACGTATGCGGTTACTCTGCGCGTTTTAAGCGAGTGTCTTTTACTTTTGGGGAGCGAGCTCTTTTATATGATTTCTTTAATCGCTCGCTGCCAATCAATTCGAACCACCGTGTTCGATTCGAATTTCCGAAGCGGCGCTGATTTTTATTGGCTGCCACTTGAAATTTCGTCGCGAGGTAAAACTTGACGCGAGCGATAGGCTGGTGACCCATACGTCACGGCCTACGTCACGGCTTCGCGCGTGCCAGCTGCCGTTTAGCGCGCGGCCAAACGACAAAGTTGTTTGCGTGTTTGTTGTCAAACTTGTTTGCGACATGGGCTTTGTTGGGACTGAAAAACCTCGAACGAGAGTAAGGGCCGTGGCACATAAAAAACTTAAACAGTAAGACTTAAGACTTAAGAATTTCAACCGTACGGAATTTTCAGCGTAGCTTACGTTTCAATATGGCTGCCTTACTGTTCGATCATGATTGGTCAATTCGCTTACGTCTTAAGCCTTACTGCTTAAGTTTTTCTATGTGCTACGGCCATAACAATTTAGAAAAGTAATAACAAATTAGCTGTTCTTTTGATGTTTTTCGACTTGGAACGATACTTTTCTACGATGTGAAAAATGCCTGCTAAGCCCATGCCGCAATGTTTAATACATGAGAAATGTAATTTTAATGCGATCTCAAACATATATGAACAGAAATATTATTACAAGAATCACCTTCAGTATTTTCCGTATTTATACACGGTCGCGTAGAAAGTTGTAAACCCATGTGGAACCTCACTTCGCGTTGTAAAGTATATGCGTGGATGCAGTGGGTTCATGTGGACCCACTGCGTCCATGCATGTACTTTCCAAGACGAAACCAAATTCATTCGATATCTAACCTTAACTCTTCTAAAACGTACATGGTGTCGTAAAATTATGTTCTATTCATTAAGGTTTCTTCATTAATAACTTTTTAATAAATTACGAGCGACGGCTATGACCTTTTGAAGGTCACTCAGGACGATGACCTTGACAATATATGTCAAGGTCAAGGTTATTCGAAGGTGATCCCCTTTTATGCAAGTTTACCGAAATTTTCCCCGAAGACACGTCGTAGTACGGGATTACGACGACCAGTAGCAGGCTGACATTGTCGAGATGCATCCGTACTCGCGTTTCAACAGAGGTTACCACTACATACTTACCGTCATCGATGTGCTGAGCAAATACGCGTGGGCCGTACCGTTCAAGAGTAAAGGCGGAAGCGGCTGACGCTATCGCCAAGATAATTCGAGATAGCGAGAGGTGCCCGAGAAACATGCAAACCGATATGGGGAAGAAATTTTACAACGCCGACGTGCAACAATGTCGTGAGGAAACACGACATCAATCATTATTCCACGTATTCGGTGTTGAAGGCATCGGTCGTCAAACGATTCAATCGCACATTAAAGAACAACATGTGGAAGATGTTTACGCTCAGCGGAACTTACAAGTGGGTCAACGCGTTGCCGCATCTCGTGTTCGGATTACAATGCGCGTAAGCATTGAACGATCGGTATGCGATCCGTCGACGTTACCCCCGCGATCGCCGAAAGACTCTTGGCTACGGTGTACAGCCCGATAAAGATCGCGGGTCCGGCAAAGTTCAAAGTAGGTGACCCGGTACGCGTTAGCAAGTACAAGACGATCTTCGAGAAGAGTTACACGTCAAATTGGACCACCGAAATGTTTAAGATCGTTAAAGCGCAGCGTACTAATCCCGTAATCTATCTACTCGAGGACTATCGCGGAAAATCCATCGCTGGAGCGTTCTACGAGTACGAGTTGCGTCGCGCAACTTATCCAGACGTGTATCTCGTGGAGAAAGTACTGCGCAGGAGGGGTGACGAGGACGTGAAATGGTTGGGATTTGATGGATCACACAACTCTTGGATACACAAGGGCAATGTGGTTTAATTCGTACAAACTGTATTTTATTTTTAACATGTGAAAAATATGAAATACATATAAAGTATCTGAAATATGTAAAAATATAAAAAATATAATATATGTGAGATGTATACAGCATATAAAATATGAAATATAAAAATAAAAATAGAAATATATTTCTTTTGTTTTCCTCATACATACATATACATTGTGACGACTTTTCCCTTTTCGCGGCCAAATGCTATGCGCGTTCGCCGTTTCAGTCTCTCCGTCGCGCGGATTGACGTTGCGCCGACGAACAGGAGCTAATTCGCCGAGCGGAGGACGTGGGAAAGTCGGGGACAAAAATGGAAAGAGTTGGATAATTATTAACGCGCCGGATAAGAATGGGATGGTAAAGTTCCGCGCGTACCGTGACGAAATCCTGGAGATAATCGCGAGAATCGAACTTGGGCGCCAGATACGGTCTTTCACGCATCAATTCGCGAAACGCACGAAATAAGCGCGAGATAGACGCGAAAGAAATTGCTGGAATTCGCCACGGGCTGGCTAGCTCGCCTAACGGTAGAGAGGCAGGGCGAGTGTTGGATTAACGCGACGATTAAGCAAGAGGCGACAATTATGGGAGTGACGAACACAAGCTGAAATTAAAGGCTCGAGATGATAAACAAAGAAAACAACGAGCTTATTATAATAGACGGGGCAAAGCCCCGTGAAAGTCAAAATAGTCATGACGACCACGCGGATATTCGGCGGCGGTAACGATGCGAGTACGAGATTGGGTGCTAGAAACGGGGCGCGAAACCACGGAAGATATGCGCCGATGTCGGCCCGTTATATCGGCCGTAATTCTTTTCTCGGCGTTAAATACGCCTCGCACCGCGGAAATGACAATTAGTATGTTTCGACAGAAATTCGGGCGATATATTATAACCCGATCCGATTATCCATACCAAGCAGTGGCGGCGACCGTATCGCCCGCTATTGTTACTTAAAAACTAATACGCAACTTACAACTAACAAACAATTCGCGAAACACGTACCTTCGTCAGTTTCGGGCGAACGCGACACACGTACATGACGCTCGACACACACACTCACGTTATTCTTACAAGAATCTCGAAGAAATTCGCACCGAACGTGCACGCAAATTTGAGACGCAAAGATTCACAAACGAACTACCAAAAGACATCATTCTTGCAACCGACACACACACTCGGACGACGGACACTTTATACAGTCGAGACTTAGGCGCTAAAAGTGCGAGAACCGACATACGCAGTACATGGATTCCAAATATCCAGAGAGACGACACGGTTTATTAAACGCGAGGCAATGTCTCAATCCGCGGAAACCGATACTCTCGAGGCTCCGGGGCTCGAATCGCTTGACGACGTGACGCGAAAGTCTACACAAAAGAATCGAGCTTAGCCCGTACACCAAAGTAAGAATTCACGGCGACGACGGCAGAACGAAACAATTCCCGGGCGCGATCACGCGTGGCTAAATTGGCGGAGGATAACCTCACCGGCACTTGGATCTCTCCTCCTGCGGGGCTGCACGGGGTCGATGGCGTCCTCTCGCCTGGGCCCTTTCTGCGATCACCGGAATCCTCTCCGATCGCACACGCTGCAACGCTCTTCGTTCGTCTACTTTGTATCGCCCTCGCTTGTACTCTCGCTCTCTACGCTCTCTACGCTCGCTTGGCTCGCAGGTTGGCACCAGTCTGACTCCAGGATGTGCGCGATCCAGGATCGATACCGCAGGGCAAGCCGGGGCTGCGCACTCGGGGTGCGTATTACCGCGACCGATTACGCGCTACCACGCGCCGTGACCGGCGGGCGGTGCGCTCACGATCGTATCGGGGGTGTGCGCTTCCCCGTTATCGCGACTAATATTTTGCTGGGGCCCGCTCAGCGGGACTGTCGCGGGGTCCAGATCGTACGGTTTGGCCGGGAGTATAATTCCGACTCTCGCGGCCGTCTTTTCCCGCGGGCCGCGTCCCGCAGCGGCAGCATCCCTGCAGTACCTCCTCACGGCTCCGTACGGTTTTGGGTCCTTGCGCGAGGATTAGCTCGTCTCGTGCGTCGCGCATCACGCGTGCACATTCTGATCCCGTTGCAACGTTGAAATATTTCCGCTGCTTATATAGATGGGCGAAATGCTGGCTCATCTTCCCTCGAAGGTCGCTCAGGTTTTACAAGAGATGCTTCCAGACGTCGAACTTTGATCTCCCGTCTTCTCCTCCGATGAGGCTCCCAAATTAAATATTCATAAAGCAAAAGAAAATAAGAAACGAAATTAATATAGGAGACGAAATCGCAATTAAATACGCCCCTCTGGAGACTACGGTACGATTCTCGCAATTTTCGACTGGCGCGGCGCTTCAGCCCGCGCTTTGCGATCGGAGAGGGATTCGGTGGACGCGCGCGAGACGGCAACGTCACAACATACATATATACATATACATACATACATACATACATACATTACATTATAAGGGTATTCGGTAATGTCCCCACGGTAGCGTGTCGGTCGAACGTGGTACGACGTGACGCTTGTCGTCGTACGGACTCAGGGCGATTTCCGTCTCGCGGATGGTGTACACTTCGTGCAATTTTGATCTTATGCAGGACTGCTGTCAAGTCATTTCAATTTCATCGCGCAGGCACCGCGTGTAATCGTCGAACGTTATCGTTCTCGCTACGACGTTACGCTTGACGCCTTTAATCTTTTTTGTATCCTTTTTACTATTTACTCGCAACGCGTACATTTTTGCTCTAAGCCCGACGAATTCAATCATGATCGCACCGTTATTCTCGTCCTTCATCAAACCTTCTTGTTCTCGAGCGGTATACCGTACGCGTTGTTAGCCGGATAATCGCTCGTGTCGAATCTAGCGATATCGCGTTTCATGTTCTCGTACACATCCTCGCACTCGATGTGATAAATCAAACTGTCTGTATCGGTGTACATTATTTTACAATTTCCGCGATATAACGGTAACATGTATTATACTCATGGTGAAATATAAACACACTTTCAATATATCGGGTATACACATACCGACGTATATCGGTTTCTCAAATTTCACCTCGAGTTTGCGCAGTTCAACGGTGACCAGATTTTCCGAAAAGACGCTCCTGCTGTGAAAATTTGGTTTCGCGATCATTGCCTCCGCGCCGTATCATCCGTCCCACTTTGTCAATAATTTTACATCGCACGTTTTCCATAGTTTTATCGAATACCGCGTTGTTCATTAATTTGTACAAATTTTTCTCGAAATCGTTTGTCGCACGCGTTCTAAACCGGGTGTTGAGTTCGATGTAATCGCGAAGCTATGCGGATTGAGCCAATTGCAATACGCGATGTATCTTTGTGACGCGAAGGCCGTGACGTGCGCACTGCTGCAGATTGCAATAGTGTATCACGTAACGCTTCTTATCGCACAGAACCGCGAGGAGCTTGTGCCGTTTACCGGGCGGCTTATCGCTCGTCGGGCGGAACGATAGGTCAGCGTGCACGTCGTGAAGATGTTGCGGATACTCCAGATCGACCTCGAGAATATAACCTGTGGTCGAATCTAAAGCGATCGCGCTAACGTCAAAGTCAGAGATGTCGTCGACCTATCGAAATTCGCCGTAGGACAACGGTTGACACATCGCCCAATCGTACAAGTTGTTTACATCGAAATATATCATGTACGACGATGGTTTCGATGGATTGTAAGACGGCGTGTACTTGTTAATGGCTCGCGCGTATCTGCCGGAACATTGGCTAAGGCCACCGCGAATACCACGTTCGATAAACATAACTATGTCAATGTCTGTAAGCAATTCGAACGTAATATTCGTATGTTTTAGCATGGCGTCCCACGTGTACCCGGGAAGAGTGTAGTAATATGCGGGGTCGAGTCCATAACTCTCGATACATTTGTCGCAGAAATTTTCAAAAACGTCGGCCAATAACAAGACATCCGTTTTTAAATACAAGTCGCTGTATTCGCCCAAGGTTCGTACAGAGAACCGCCTCCAGACGTTCTCGGCGTGCGCGCAATCGCTCTCGGATACGGTGTCACCGGTCAAGGAGCTGTAAAATGATTCGCGCGGTAGTAAACGCGTGTCCTACAGCTTGTCCGCGCAATCCACATATTCCTATGGAAAGACACTTTTCCGCGTCAATAACTCAAAATCGTGATTGAATAATGCGGAAAATTTCGATTTAAAAATTTGGAGTTTATCATTATTTAGAAACGATGCCAATTTTTCGAGACTATTACTGGGAAATTTGTACAAATCGATGAACCGTAACTTTATATCGCTTCGCGAATCTGATCTTTCGGCGGTTTCTTTAACGTGTTTCGTGAATGAAATATACTTTTCTTTCGTTATCGGTAGTACGTCGATCGAGCCTTCGAACGCGGTAGCTATTTTCTCGATGATAAAATGTGAATTGTGACCGGATAAATTGTGAAATACTATGGGAATGCAAACAAATTCTTTATAATTTGAATTGCAGTTTAAATGCGCGGAACCTTGGTACCGCCCGGTCAGATGGCAATGATCGCGTACGCGTGTATCGTCTTGCGCGAATAGTTTCTCGCAAATGTGACAGTGTGTTGCGCTGTAAAACTTTTCCCATTCATCCCGCGTTAAATTTACCATGGGAACATTCTTGGTTAAAATAGTCTTTACGCGTTGCGCTAAATTTTTTAATTTTTCCACGAACCGCAATCAGTACTGCGGCGAGAATGATACGCGGATAACGATTTGTCGTACAAACAATGTACATAATAAGCTATGCTAAATACTTGATGATGTTGAAACGTGAACGTAGACGTCATCGTATCACTGTCAGTCTTCCTCAGCACGCACTCCAAGTCGGCATACGCGACGAATGGAAGCCGCTCCTTCCTGTTGTAGTTGCCAAAGCTGAGCCATTTGTCCTTATCGCTCGGTAACCGGATGGCGCACTTGTTTATTTCTCGACAGTCTACAGTGTGCGACTGCAACTTGTCATTCGATCCG